TTGAGACCTACAAAAGCCACAGGGCTGTAACTTCGGGAACCTAATCTACATGCGTGTACGGGCCTCCATCTCCAAAATGGGCGTTCTTTTTCGCGTGCCACACAAATATGGGTCCGCCAAAGTCTTCGTGTAATTTGCTAACTCAGGAACCTGAGGAGCTCGAGATTGAGATTTTAAGGGGATGTTTCCCCATCCAAGCAGGTATTTACGAGCTCAAACCCAGACACTGGGTATGCGTGGGACCTATGACGGGCTCGTGGAAGTTTTTTTTTGGGGTAAGTTGCTAACTCGGGAGCCAGGAGAGCTAGAAAGCTGGGGTTTAAAGGGGGTGTTTTCTAACAGTCCTGGCGGCTAGTCTTAATTTGTTCAGCTAGAAGCATTTGCCGCAATATCCGGTGCCGGTAGCGACAAAAACTGCGGGGAAATGTGCAAAAAACGCATCTTTGCACCTGCAGCCGGTGCGTTGACCAATTACTTTTATGCGTTTTGTTCTGTGTAACAGCAGTACAAAAAATATATTGTCACGGGTTGTCTGTATGTGTGTGTGTCCGCAGCAACTTGCCCGCAATTTTCAACTCGGATGTCTGTGTTGTGTGTTTGTGTGTGTGTGTGTGTGTCCGCAGCAACTTGGTCCGCAACTTTCAACTCGGGAACCACAAAAGCTAGGAAGCTGAAAATTTAGGGTAACGTTCCCCACCGCAACTTTCAACTCGGGAGATTGTTACGGGGTTGTCTGTGTGTGTGTGTCCGCAGCAACTTGTCCGCAACTTTCAACTCGGAAACCACTGTTTGTGTGTGTGTGTGTGTGTGTGCCCGCAGCAACTTGTCCGCAACTTTCAACTCGGGAACCACAAGCTAGGAAGCTGAAAATTTGGGGTAACGTTCCCCACCCACGTGTGACCCCGCAAATTTAAATTCAGCCTCCCCGTACCTGCAGGAAACACGTATGGCCTCGCAAAAGTTTTGGCTGCCCACGCTCGACCTTGCTTATTCAAATTCAGCTTTCTCCTGCCCGCGGGTAATACGAACGGCTCCGTGAAAATTTTGCGGGTAAATTATTATCTCAGGAACCACTGAATATACGAAGCTGAAATTTTAGTGTAGTAGCCCCCTGCCCACGCTCGACCTTGTCTGTTCAAATTCAGCGTTCTCGAGCTCTCGGGTATCACCTACGGTCCCGTGGAAGTTTTGGCGGATAAATTATTTCGGGACCACGGAAGCTAGGGAGCTGAAATTTTATGTGTATGTTCCTTGCTAACGCTTGACCTAAAAAAATTTAAATTTAACCTTTTTGTGCTCGCAGGTAACATATACGGTCCCGTGGAAGTTTTAGCGGATACCGGATCCAGGAAGGTAAAATTTTGGAGTGATGACCTCTACTCACGTACGAACTCGCAAATTCAAATTCAGCGTTCCTGCGCTCCGGGGTATCACCTACGGCCTCGAGAAAGTTTTGGCGGGAAAATTATCTTGAGAGTTGTAAAAGCCAGGAAGTTGAAGTTTTATGGTAATGTCTTCTGTCTACATACAATCCTCCAATTTTAAATTCGGCTTCCCGCGCGTCCGAGTATCGCTTGCGGCCGCGTGAAAGTTTCGGCGGGGAAAATTGTTATCTCGGCAGTCGCAGAAATCGAGAACGGGTGTGAGGGAGAAAGAGAGCTGATGCGCTGGTCCAAAATGTGGAAAAGTTTTACTGATGCCTTGGCAGCAGTGTATTTTGAAGTAAGCATCGCTATTGCCAATATGTGCAGAATTTTTATCTCAAAAAATAACAAAACAACAACAAAACTGATGACTTCTGGACACACGCAGATAGTATGGAATGATCACAGATCGCTTGAGCGGCAGGCAACAAAATCAGTGGAACTTGAGGGATGAATCAGCAATGCGGTACTTCATACCTCTCACCAAAGAAAACTCATTTTTCGAGGTTATTTTAAGAAATGTTCAAGCAGTAATTTTCGGTACTTCAAGGAGTGAAAGGCTGTGAGAATTTTTGAAAAAGACTTCGAATCCATCGAATCCACTAATAAAAGCCCGAGGATGGAGTTTTGGGTGATAGCATCTCAGGATTCCAAGAGGCGGTAATTTGACATCAGTGACTGCGGATATTTTCGAAGAAAAGAGTTTGACGATCAGACCAATACATTCTTCTGATACCCGTCAAAGCTGGTAATAGCTAAATTCAAGGGATTTGTCTCTGGCTTTTTGTAAATGCAACAGTTCGCAATATAACAGAAAAGACGATAGAAAAATTGATTTCAT